TTTTTTTTTTTTTTTTTTTGTTTTTTTTTTTTTTTGGGGGGGGGGGGGGCTGTGGCCCTCCATATAGTGATTTGAATGATTAAGTCAAACTTTTCTTGGATAAGTGTCCTAGTAAGTCCCAGGCAAAATTCTGCTTGTTGGTCTCTTACGCGCTGTCAGCGGCCCGCACCAGCGCCAGGCTTGTCCCCGCTCCCCGCTGCGCCCCTGGTCTGGATGTGGGAGGCGAAGGCAGTGAGCATTTCTTGGGCGGTGAGGTGGGCGCCGCGCAGAATCAGGCGATGCCCGTCACCTGGGGAAGAAACGAACGAATGAGGCACGGGAAGGGCAACGGGGCCGATGGGGCGCGGGCTGCCTGCCGCCCCTCCCGCCCGACTCCCCAAGCAAGCCCACCGAAAAGCACATCCACACAGGGCTCGGAGCCGTCGTGCCTCACATCCGCAATCACTGAGCAGTTTAAGTTGGTGGAGCGGACCTTCTCGCTGCTCACCGCCTGGAGGAAGGTCCTGCGGTGGGAAAGCGGCGTGAGCGCCGGGCCGAGGGGGTGAGAACCCCGGCGGGAGAGAAGGGCGTTCCTTTCCGTTCCCACTCCTTCCCCCTCGTACCTCGTCGACTCCACGTTCTTCTCGAAGGGGCAGAACTGAACCCGAACCTCCTTGACAGCCCGGAGCCCCAGCCGAGCCAAGGCCGCCGCCATGGTAACCTCCTCCCCGGAAGCATTCGCACCGAAAGCCAGGTCATTAGTGAAAGAGGCTGTGATTGGCCGCGCTGACGCAGGCCCCGCCCCCCGGCCTCCGCAGAGTACGACTCCGGGCGGCGGACCTCCGAGCTCCGCAGGCCGAGACGTGGAGGGCGGCCAGGCGGGAGAGATGGTTTCGGCACAGGGTATACAGTGGCCCAAAGTAAGCGGTCAGCGACTACTACCTATCCATTCATAGCCCTGTTGTACCACAGTAAAGATAATATGGGGTAAAAGCCGCTTGCACCTGGCTCCGGTAACAGGTCCTTCTGCTCCCTTTCCCCTTACGTTCCCTGTTGTTCCCGATCTAGGTTAACACCATCTTAAGTGCTGGTCCCTTACAAGGAGGACACCATCACCACGACAGGGATTATGCACCTACCAGGGGGTAAACCCCACTCAGGTAATTGAAGATTAAACATGTTGGACTCTGAGTAACCACGTGAAGGCCGTACAGCCCAATACGGTTCAACGCTGAAAGTAGTAATGGGGAGGAGAGTACAGGGTAATACAGCCCTTAGGACAGATCCAGCTGTAGAAATGACTATTTCGCCTTTGTGGTTTCTGATGTATTAACTTTGTGTTTGGCCTGACCTGGGGACTTAAGAGGAAGTGGCATCTAGGCTCTCTGCTTTCTATTGTTTTTTCTCTTTCCCTTTACTCTGAGATCCAACCCTATAGCCCTCCTCCCTGCGTCTAGCCCAGAGATGGCTTCACTGATGGGGAATTAGGCCTGAGCCTCCAGAGATGCTGACCTCCACTTTCCGGGCTGTGGTATTGCCATTTACTTTGGATTCCAGGTACTGGGATGTCTTGGATTCTTAGCGTGCAAGTCCAGGCTCTGTGTAGTTTGTTGTTCTCAGGTATGCTTTCTTCCAAGCATCCAAATGTAGTCTTCTTTAACATGCAGTTTCAAATGTCTGGGCTTTCCCAGCCAGAAATGCAGAGCGTTGACTTTCTGGCTGCTGATTAGGCTCCTTAGGATTCAGGACTGGTCTCCAGGCAGGAAAGAAAAGGCAAGTGCCACCAGGGGCGGCGCTGGTGCTGCCTCAGGGCAAGCCAAGCCTGCTGATTTCCCACCAGATAAGCCTCTGGGCTAGGTCCCTCACCCCACAGCGTGTTTAGCAGCTGAGCTGTCTGGGCTGGGGGTGCTCCAGGCCGAAGAGGGGGCTCCAAGCTCTCCAGGCTGTTGAGGCTGCTGCTGGGCAATTCCGAGGTCTGGACTTCATTACATGCACCTGGTAAGGCAGGAGTGGAAGGCAGGTGGCTGCTGGGGGATTGCTGAAGCCAGATCAATGATAAGCATGGGGGATGGGACACTTAAAGTAGTAAATGAGGGCCCAAAGAACCTGGAGTTGAGAAGGGGGTGTGACTCACAGCAACAGGGAGGCCTTCTGTGGCCTTGAGTCCTGGGCAGGGGCTGCTGCAATAGACACAGCAGGGCCCCATCCAGCCGCTGGAAGACGCTGAGCATCAGCAGACTCTGGCGAAGTTCAGGGGACAGGCCCCACCGCTCTTCTTCCAGCAGCTCCCCGACCACTCCAAAATCTTGTCTAAGCTGCAGTGCCCCCTGCAGGCTGAAGGCGGCGGTACAATGTGGGCCCCTGACCCTCTGGTCTTCCTAAACTGCCCCGCCCCACTTATCTCCTCCCCTTTTCCAGTTCCATTCGTACCCCTGCCACTGCCTCCTTTTCACCCCACCTGAACCGGATCCCATGGGTGAGGATGTGGTCAAGCCAGGCATCCAGGATGGCTGTCAACGCCTGCACAAGGGCAGGGGCCTGGGCTGGAGGTGACAAACCCTGCAATCCTTGCAACACAGGCTCCAGTACAGTGCGGACCACAAACCCAGCATACTCACTAGGAATACTGGGGAGTTCTGGAGTGAGAGAAAAGAAAGGACCGGATATAAAGCTACTGAGATCCACTGAGTACCTAATGGAGTGATTGAGGGAAGAGAGTAGGATTTCCAGTGTGGGGGCAGGGAGGCACGGGAGGTGAGGACAAAGATGGACGGGAGTGGAGACAGGATTTGGAGGGGTCGGGATACTCTTACCCCTGGGAACCCTGGGGATGCTGGAATGAGGAGTTACCAGGACAGAGACGATGCCGCCAGTACCGACCCCGTGGCATGTGAAGTTCGAAGCCCTGTGTAGCTTGTTTATGGCATTCTTGAAAAAAGAGACTTAGTGACTCTTCAGGCAGGAGCTATGGGGATAGGGAGAAGTAAAAGGGGCTTATCTGTTAGGGACTTGTCAAGCTCTGATGCTCTTCTCAATCTGAGGTGTTGAACCTGGCATCCATAAAACTCAAGAACAGAGTTGTATGGGCTCAAGCATTTTCTAAGGAGAGGTACCATTGCTTTTATTGGGTTTTCCAAAAGGTCTGGACCCAGAAAAGATTGTGGGCAATTGCCCTAGGACTATCCTGCTCTCCCCAGCTTGGTTCAGAGGATGGAAATCCTCCAGGTTTTCTTCTATAGGAACATTAATAGGAAAAAAAGAGCGAGATACCTTCGCCATGACCAATGTTCAAAAGCAAATGCTAGGGACAGGCTGAAGAAAGGGGAATTGTACAATATCTGGCTATCATCTATGAAAGGAAGGCAGGGACTATGTGTAGATGGGGAGCAATGACTGTAACTTTCTGAGAATCAGGAACCTTTGGGATGTCCTTATACTGAGTATTCTGACAGCCCACTTGCATTTCTCCAGAGCAGTGTAACCCATAAAGTAAGAAAAAGCCCATGTGCTGATTTGGTTTCTTTGGTTCAATAGGTTTTGTTTTTGGAGGGAGGAAGATGGCAAAAAGATGGGTTCTCTACAGCCCATCTTGGAGGAGAAGAACCCCAAGAAATGGTGTATGTAGTGGCAGGTCTGTAAAGAAAAAATGATGAATGCGAGCAAGCCTGAAGAGAGGAAGGGGTGTGGGGGGCCAGACATGGGGGTGAGGGTGGAACCCATGTGGTTCCTGGTACATATCCTGACAATAGCCTCTCTAAATCCAAACTCTTCCTCTCTTCTCCCCCAAATCAGAACCTTCTCCTTATTTATGCCAAGGAACTGACCCCTCTGTCAACTGATATTAGTAAGGAGCCTCTGCATTCAACACTCAGGAAATACAAGGTCACATGATGAGACAGTCTTTCTCTCTGGGACATTACAGCTCAGTTGGAGAGAAAACTCACAAAATCGATTCTTTTTCATCCCAGTACTGTATGTGGTGGAATGCCCAGAGCAGACGCCTAAAGTGCAATCACCAGGCAGAGGAGCAAGGCATCAGAATGCTTTGCACAGTGTTTGCTTCACATGGTGAGCACACTGTCCCTGTACCTTTTGCTCTGTTCTCACCACTACTATCAGGAGCTGAACGGTATGTCTCCTCACCTCCCGTCCATCCTGATCACTATAGCTGGATCAAACTCTGTCACAGCCTTCACTGTTCCCCTCCTGCTCTTACAGTGGCACCCCAGTCACTCATGAGATAAAGCCTCAAGTCTGTGGCCTAGTGTTCAGTGCCCTCCACCTATTTACTCATTACCCCACCCACACCTCAGATGTGTGTGTGTGTACATGTGTGAGCTCATGTGCACACACGAGCGCACACATACACAAATACACTACACACAAAGGAATCTTCTGCTTTGGTCAGGTCATCTCCCCAATAATCCCCCAAGGAACTATAAACTGTCCACCTCCAGTAACTCCTGTCACTCCTCTGAAGCCGCCAAGCCATCAGCAAACCATAAGCCTTGCATGGAGTATCTGTCACCACATGCCTCAGAGTTCCCATGACCATCACTGTCCACTCTACTCATGAGGAGCCTGCTTTGGGGCATGTTGAATTGAAGAAGGCAGCAGTAAATTGAGGTGGAAATGCCCAAGAGACAGATGCAGATGCAGATGCTAGATTAGGGTTAAACTGGGGTCGGGATGGGGGACTCCTAGCACCAAGTAATGCAGAGAGAAAGGAATAGAGGGATAAGCAATGAACTCTACGGCTATGCATTTATTCAGGACAAAGAGGAGAAATTTGGGTCAGAAGAGGAAACAGCAGACAGACACCTTCCACAGTAGGGATAATGTGCAAAATGAGGAAAAATTACAATGGAAGCATAACAGTTTATTCATAAATTTAGACGAAAATAGAAGAAACACCCAAGAGTGGATGAAAGTAAAACTATAGAAGAGGAATCAGAGGTGGGAGTAGACATTAGAAGCCTTCTAAAATTATATTCTATTTCACTTTTAAACTATGGACATGTATTACTTTAATAAAAATACAAATTATATGTTTTAAAAAGAGGAGAGACATTGTATTAGAAACTAGTAAATAAAAGGAATCAACCATTCATCTTGCTTTTTCTCTACAAAACAGACCTCAGAATAATCAGATAATTAATGAGGACAAGTTTCACTTTATAGGAGTAAGCCAAATAATAAATGAAAAAGGAATGACAGAATTGGAATATCACCACTTTGCACCCCCTAATGAAATCATGGGTCTAGGCAATGATCATCAGTGGCTGTTAACATGACAAAATGAGAGCCTGATATGGGGGGTGGGAGTGGGGAGGCAGGGAATACATAGATAAAACAAAAGACCATTGTTAAAGCCTCTGTGTAGGAATACAGGGCTCCATTATACTCTTCTCTCTACTTTTGTATATGTTTTACATTTTCCATAATAAAAAGTTAAATAGAACAAAAAATGAACAAAGCAAAAGATAAATTCAGCAGAGACTCTAAGAAGATTCCAAATCACAGATATTCTGCACCCTCCCCACCCTCCAACTCAAAAGCTGGCCACTGTCAGGGTCCCTGCTCTCCTCACCTGGATCTGTATTGTCAGCTTCCGGATTTCCAGGCCCAGCTGCTGCTCCACCTCCAGGGCCAACCTTTCCTCTGAGGCCAGGCTAGATAGAGCTTCGGCCTGGCCTAACACAGGCTTTTGCAGAAATAGTGTGTGAGGTCTGAGCCCAGCCTAGGCTGCTCCCTCCCCATTCCTAGCTACTTACAGGTAAGTCCTTCTGGATCAGGAGCAAGAAGGAACCTGGGGCCCATGCTGCCAGATGCTGCTGAGCTCTGCCCCAAAACCAAAGCAAGGTTGTCTGCAAAGTGCAGAGCCCCAGGGCAAGGGGTGCAGGACCTGGGGAGGGACAAGTATCTGAGGAGTTATGGAGCAGCTTTGGGAGAAGGCAAGCTACAGAACAGAGAGAAAGAATAAAGGAGATATCCTGAACTGTTCTCCTGTTTCCCCAACTGCAGCCACTTGTCTCACCTTGAGGCTGACAGAGGAGCAGCCCTGGCTTGGTCTCTTGAAGGGCATCCAAGAGAGGAGGGAAGAGCTGTTGCAGAAGTTCACTGGTATGAGAGGATGAGGAAAGGCAGCTCTGATCACTAGCAGATCCCAAGGCCTGGCAGAAGACTGAAGATGAGGGGGTAGGTTTGATAGGGAAGGGCCAACTGGGGTTTGTGTCACTCCCAGTGCCCCTTCGTTCTCACCTTGGTCCCAGCTCCGGATAAGAGACTGATGAAATAGGCTGTGACACAAAGAAGCCAGCTCCTTCTCACACTCCTGAGGCAGGGATGCTAATGGAAGAAATTACTCTAGCCTGCAAACAAGGCCTCAATTTTCTACAACCGCTGCCCACTCAATGATAGGGGAAGAGAAGAGGCATGCCCTAAAACTCAAGACTGGGGTGGAAAGCAAGGCTTTGCCTTGAAAGCTCAGAAGCTTTACTTGAATCCCAGGGTTGTGGAGGGGAAGAGGGGCAAAGAGGTGTTCATTCTAAGGGGCCTGATTTTGTAGTCAGGCTGGCAGGTGATTGAGGTGACTAGGGAGTAGGGAATCCAGCCTTCCCAGAGGCCCACCCAAGCCCTCCACTCACCCTGATCCAGTGCCTGACTCAGCTGTTGTGCCGCTGCCCTGGGGTCCCTCCAGGGTCCTAGCCTTAGGTCCAGACTCTGAGCACAGGCTGTCCATAGCAGGGTCCAGTACTGGCTCCACAGGACTCCACCTCCTCCAAGCCCCAGTCCACTGCTGGCTGAACCTGCCACGCCTCCCATTAGGCCCAGGAGCCCTGGCAGCAGCTCCTGCTCCCCACGACAACACTTGCCGAGCTGGTCCCACAAGCCCGATCCCCTGAGCGCCTCGTTCAGCTGACCTGCCACCTGGCAACCCCGCTCCCCCGTCAGGAGGCAGAGCACTCGGGCCTCGGGGAAAGGGCGTGCCGCCCCTGGGACGTGGCTTAAGGCTTTTTCCTGCAGCTGATGATAGGTGGGAAGTGCCAGCAGCAGGTCGGCCAGTTGGGAGGACAGGATGGGGCTGGCGGGCGCCCGGCCCAGAGCGCGAAGCTGCATCTCGATGACGGCATCCAGGCGCTGGGTAGCCAGTCCGACGGGGCGCGCCAGGAGTAGCGGCTCGGGAGTCTCCCGAAGACCGGTTCGCAGGACTGCCGTTCGGGAAAGCTGCGGCAGCAGGTCGCGGCACAGCTGAGGCAAGGGGCGGGGGCCCGGAGGCGGCGCGCCGGGACTCAGCAGCCTCAGAAGGCGCACGGCCGCCCGTAGGTGGCGGGCGCAGTCCTGGGCTTGGAGGAGCTGCTCCCGCTCGCGGTGCAGCCGCAGCAACACTGCCCGGAGACGCTGCAGCGTGGGAGGGAGCGGCCCGTCGGCGGCGGGCTCCTGCCTGGGGTCTGCAGAGCCAGCCTCTTGGTGCTCTCCAGTGTCCAACGGCGCCGCCCCCCACGGCTGCCCTCCCCGAGCTCCTCCAGGCCGTTGGTCCAAGCAGGGGCTGCTCCGGGCAACCGGTAGCC